GGGGAGACACCCCGAAGGACAGGTGAGTGGGGGCGGGGCGGGGGGCGTGTGGGGACCCGGGAGGGAGGGACGGAGGCGAGGCGCCCCGCTCCCTGCGGACGCGCCTGGGCGCGCAAGACCCCCGGGACTACATTTCCCATCAGCCTTCGCCTTGGGCCGCCTAGACGGGGTGATGGGGGTTGTAGTCCGCCCTCTAGAGGGGCGCCCGGGAGGCGGGAGAGGCGGCCCGGAGTCCTCTGGGTGACCTTCTCCCTGATCCCACAGCTACCACCTGGTGGGGATCAGCTTCTTCATCTTGGGCCTGGGCACCCTCCTTCCTTGGAACTTCTTCATCACCGCCATCCCGGTGAGCCCCGCGGTTGAGTGACAGCCCCCGGGGCCCACACAGCCATCCCTGCTTCCAGCCAGCCGCGGGGACCCGAGGGTCCCCCGGAGGGCGCTTTCCCCACCGCCGTCCCCGCGGGAGTCCTCATCACGCTCTGGGTCAACGGGGGGCGGGGGCCAAGGGCGGTGGTTGGGTGTCCACGTTCCTCTCACGTGGCTGGTGGGGGAAACCCCAACTTTGAGAAATGCCCACGCCCCCTTCCTCAGGGGCCCCGAGGAAGCTTCTGCACAGCTGCCCTCCCCACCCCCCTCCCCTTCACCCTACCCTCCTCACCCCCCACCCACACACACAATGCACTTTCCTTTTTTGAGCTGCGACCCTCTGGTGTTCTTGACAATGCCCTGACTTAAGAGTCGTTCAGGGGACAAGGATGTGTAGCACGCAGGGCAGTGGGTTGGGCACCGTGCCGGGCACAGGGACACAGGACAAAGCCTCTGCCCTCAAGGGGCGCCCATTCTCTCAAGGCACTGCAGAAACAAACAGGGGTGGTGCGGCACTACTGCCCCTGTGGCCCTGCTGTGTGGTGACCCTCAGCCCTGGTCCTGAGCGGACCAAAGAGCTGTTGGAAATAAAACCTGATCTGCAACATGCCAGGCTGAGAGCAGAGCCCCGCCCGTGGGGGCGTGGCTTAGGATAGAGGGGTTGTGACATGGCAGTCATTCCGGTGGGGAGAGAGTGGGAGGAAGCGGGGTGGTCATTCCAAGTGGGGTCCACTGTGTACTCAAAGGGACCACGGCAGCTTGTTCAGGGAAAGTCAGGAGCCCAAGTGCCCAGAACTGAGGGGCAGTGAGGCAGGACATGGGGCCTGCTGGGAGTCCCTGACCTGGCTCTGTTCTAAGGGGGCTGGGGACTTATCCTCTGGGGGACCAGGAGCCCCCAGGCAGTATGCTGACTTGATGGAATGCTATGGTCAGCACCAAGGCTAGAGCCAGACTTTCCTGTGGGTTTCTGAGACTCCCTCTTGACCCTAGGAGAAAGCCTCATCTTTCTCCTGTGGAGTGGCTGGTGGTTCTGAACTGCCACTTACAGGAATCAGAGATGGGCAGGAACCAGGCCACTGAATGGAGGGTGAACCAAAGATAGACCGGGCTCCGCACTCGGGTGTCTTTGGGCTTGGGCTCGATGCCAGCCCTCAGCTGTCCAGATCAGCACTATTCCTGGCGCTCTGTGCCAGGTGCCTGGGGCAGCACAGCGACCAGGGTCCCGAGGACGGGCTGTAAGAGGAGGCTTGGGTGACCCTGCACCTCCCCCGCATCCTGCCAGTACTTCCAGGGGCGGCTGGCAGGGGCTAACAGCACAGCCGGGACCCCGGGCACAAACCACACCGGCCCCACGGATGCCTTCAACTTCAACAACTGGGTGACGCTGCTGTCCCAGCTACCCCTCTTACTCTTCACATTCCTCAACTCCTTCCTGTACCAGCGGTGAGAGGCCCCACCCCTGAGCCCCTCTCCCTCACCCCTCCTCTGCCCAAGGAAGACCACCCATCCCCCTTCTACCCTTCCTGCCTCCCCCCACTCTCACGACCCGGCCCTGCTGACCCTCCGGCCCCCTTCCCCTGGCCACTGGCCCCGGCTGATGCCGTGTGGCCGCTCCGAGCAGCGTCCCGGAGACAGTGCGGATTCTGGGCAGCCTTCTGATGGTCCTGCTACTCTTTGCCCTGACGGCGGCGCTGGTCAAGGTGGACATGAGCCCCGGACCCTTCTTCTCCGTCACCATGGCTTCCATCTGGTTCATCAACTGTGAGCACCTTGCGCCCCACCCCAGTGCCCTTGGACTGGAGCCCCACCACCTCCTCGCATCCGAAAGGGTCCAGCACCTTCAAGAAGCGGAGAAAGACAGCCCCCTTGGTCCCGATGGCCCCAATGAAGACACTGAGGCCCAGAGAGAGCAGACCTCACTCGCTCCGGCCCCCTGCCCCACACACCTTTGGCTCCCACCTGCCCCATCTAGCCCACAACAGCACCCCACCTACCTTCCACCCCCACCCCCGTGCACAGCACTTGTGTCCCCTCCCAAACCCCTGAGCCCTCCTGTCACACCCACAGCCTTCGGTGCGGTTCTGCAGGGCAGCCTCTTCGGGCTTGTGGGCACCATGCCCTCCACCTACAGCACGCTGTTCCTCAGCGGCCAAGGTCTGGCTGGCATCTTTGCTGCCCTCGCCATGCTCCTGTCCATGGCCAGTGAGTGGGCTGGGCTGTGAGGGCGCATCAGGGAGGGAGGGAGGGAGGAAGAATGAATGAGAAGGGCGGAGTGGGGGAAGGAGGGGGGAGTGGGCGAGCACCAGCTGTCTTGGTTCTGGGGACCTGGAGGGAGTGCCAGGGGCAGTCAGTGACGAGGTTGGAGGGAGGCACCAGGGGCAGGACCTGGTAGGGAGAGGGCTGTGGGTTTCCTACAGGCTTGGGTTCAAATCCCCGTTCTGCTGCTCAGGGACTCACCCGCTCTGTGCCTCAGTTTCCCCACCTACATGCCAAGGCCCCACCTCAGAGCATAGGAGCCCACAGGTGGAGAAAGCTCCTGGCAGGAGTAGGTTCTCAACAAAACTCAAAAACTTGCCGCCATCAAGATGATGCTGACTCATAGTGACCCTATCTGGGTAGGACTGCCCCTGTGGGTGTCTGAGACTGTAACTCTTTACGGGAGTAGAAAGCCTCATCTTTCTCCCAGGAGGCAGCTGGTGGTTTAGAACTCCTGGTCTTGCGGTTAACAGCCCAACCCATAACCACTATACCACCAGGGCTGGTAACAAACAACAGCAGAGGGGAAAGTGGGAGGAGATGAGGGCTGGTCTGGGGGTCTGTCAGGAGGGGCGGGGGGAGCGGATCTCGGCAGTGATAGGAGGAGGAGGGGCTGGGAGTGAGTGAACCTGAGCAGTGCATTCTGGGAAGAGGCAAAGGCTGGAGGCCCTGGGGGAACCCGTGGGCCCAGGTCGCTCTCTGCAGCTGGTGTTTCCATGGCAGGTGGCGTGGATGCCCAGACCTCCGCCCTGGCGTATTTCATCACCCCCTGTGTTGGCATCCTCCTATCCATCCTCTGCTACCTGAGCCTGCCCCACCTGGTGAGTCGCTCTGCCCTGGCAACCTTGTTCAGAGCATCTCAGACAGTGCCTTGAATTCTGGGGCCCCAAGAGGGGTCAGGGGAGGCAGAGGGGACCGACCCAGCCCTGACCCCCAAAGGAGTAGGCCACTGAGGAGTCCCAGCCTCTAAGCCAACAGTGCGGGGTGGGGTCCAGGCAGGGCCACCAGGATGCTTCCTCTTGCAGGAGTTTGCCCACTTCTACCTGGCCAAGAAGCCGTTGCAGGCCCAAGCTCACGAGCTGGAGACGAAAGCTGAGCTCCTTCAGGCAGGTGAGTCCTGGGATCTGCAGGGGTGCTGGGAGCCCCCAAGGAGACCAAGCACCCGCCCCTGTGGCCTGTGTGAGCAGAGACAAAGCAAGAGGGGAGTCAGAGGGCTGCAAGTCATCCCTGCAACCAAGGCCCGGGGGGAGTCATAGTATGCACCCCTTAGTGGTGAACATACCGAGGCCCTGGAGTTGGGTGAGCACCCCTATGGCCTATTGGGGTTCAGTTTCCTCCTCTCTGAAACGGGGAGGCAGCAAGGCTTCGTGGGTACAAGCTCTGGATGGAAATGCATCCCACAACACATCTTTATAAACTCTGGCTTCGCACAGCCTCCAAGCTGTGTGTGGTTAGCAACTCAGGCCACTCCTCCGAACCCTGGGTACCTTCGTTCATAAAGTCGGGGCAGCAAGGCAGTTCATTGTGTGTGCTTAGGGATTCGTTGCCAACCCTTCCCTCTTTGTACCCTGGCCTGGAGAAGGATCACTTAACTGTGTTAAGTGCTGGGCTCGCTCTCCGAGGAGCCTGGCTGTCAGGAGGCCTGGACCCTGGGCCGTGACCGCATGCTCCCCCATCCACCCCAGACGAGAAGATCGGAATTCCCAACAGCCCCCAGAAGGCAGCCCTGCCGCTGACCCTGGACCCTGAGGGGGAGCCAGAGGAACCCCCAGAGCCTGGCAAGCCTTCTGTCTTCATGATCCTCCAAAAGGTTTGCCTTGATTCTTCCCGCACTCCACCTGCTCCCTCCTGCCCTGCCCATCTCAGCTCTGCCTTGGCCACCTGGGGGCCCTCCGGAAATGGCAGCAGCCAGAGGGTCTTGGCCCTCAGGGGCAGGGGCTGGAGCTGACCTGGGACCCCAGGACTGCCTGCCTGCCGGCTCACACCACTGCCTCCGCTCCCAGATCTGGCTGTTGGCGCTGTGCCTTGTGCTGGTCTTCACGGTCACTCTGTCTGTCTTTCCCGCCATCACCGCCATGGTGACCAGCTCCACCAGCCCCGGGAAGTGGAGTGAGTGCTGGAGTCCTGGAGGGGCCGCTGGGAGGGGTGAGGGGGCAAGGGAGGAGCTGGGTCAGGAGTAGGATGAGTCCCCAGCTCTCGCTCCATCCCAGGTCAGTTCTTCAACCCTGTCTGTTGCTTCCTGCTCTTCAACATCATGGACTGGCTGGGGCGCAGCCTCACCTCCTACTTCCTGTGGGTGAGCACTCCCGGCCTGGGCTGTTGGGCAGGTCTTAGGATGCAGCCGAGGGGTGCAAAGAGCATGAAGGAGCCCAGAAAGTCACTCCCCACCAGCCCAAGTGTTTGGGCCATGAAGCAGCTGGCCCAGTGGGTAGTGAGCACCTGGGCCACGGAGGCATGCAAGCCAGGGCTTGGACTAGGACCATCTTGAAAGCAGAGGCCCTGTCCGGGCAGCCTTCTGTCCCCAGCACCCCACCCAGCCCTTGGTTCTCAGAAAATGTTCCAGCATCAAGTAAGGCGCTGGACAAGATTCCTGGTGTTTGCAGTGCCCTTGGGCAAGGTGCCGTTCCTGGGTGGTGCAGGCAGTTACTATGCCCCAGGGCTCACCAAGGGGTGGAGGTTCAAGTCCACCAAGAGGTGCCTTGGGAGAAAGGCCTGGCGGTGTGGACAGTCAGCCCCGGCAAACTCTGGAGCATTCTCTGCTAGAGGGTCTCTCGGAGCTAGAGCCGACTCATCGTGGGGACTACTTCTTTATGGGGTGGCCACTGCCTGACCCCTCATCGTTGTTCGGGTCCAAATGCTGCCCTGATGGTGCTGACAGTAGGTTAGAGTAGACGATGGGCTATCAGTGAGAGGTCAGTGGTTCAGATCCACCAGCTTTTCCACAGGCAAAAGAGGAGGCCGTCTGCTCCGGGAAAGACTCACAGTCTGGGAATCAACTCGAGGGCAGCGCGTCTGTCTGGTTAGGGGCTTTTTAGCTGCCCCTTTGGTCTCGGGCTTGGTTGCTCTGAGCTCATGTTCCTCCCTGGTGTCACTGTCCACCGTGTAGGCCTCTCTGTTGCTTGGCCGAAACGCCATGCCCAAGAGGCGAGGGTCAGTTCCAGGTTGGATGTGTGCTCAAGAGCCACAGCCTTGGGTGTTCCACCCGTCTCCATCAGACCATAAGTTCCGTCCCGTGGCTGAGCTTGAGTTTGGTTCGACGTTTTTCTCCCACTCTGTCCATCACCTATGGTGATGCCCATCAGTGTGGTCAGTAGAGGTAGCCGGGCACCATCTAGTTCTTCTGGTCTCGGGCTAGTGGAGCAGGCTGTGGTTTCCACGGCCTTTAGTCCATTGGACTGTGTCCTGGAGTCTTTGATATTCTTCAAACACTTTGCTCCTGACAGGGGGAGACAATAGCTGTGCTTAGATAGAAACAGCAGCTGTTTTTCAAGACATCCCCGAGTAGCATAAATGCTTAAGTGCTTGGCTCCTAACAGGAAGGTTGGCTGTTTGAGTCCACCCATCAGCTCCTCGGAAGGCAGGCTTAGTAAACGGCATCTGAGAAGTCAGCGCTTGAAAGCCTGTGGTGCCCAGATCTACCCTGAAACCCACTGAATGGCCAGGCTGTGTTAGCATGAACTCCACAGCCATGGGGTTGGTTTGGGTTGGCTGTTGCTTCTTCTAGAATCTTCTAGACTGAAGGGGAGCTTCTCTGTTCCAGGCTGGGGTGGGGATCCCCGGGATAGCCAGGCTGGAAAACCACAGATGTTGAGTGAGGCCTCTGTTGGTTCGGTGGGGGTGGGGGTGGGGGGGCACCCAAGGCAGAGCTCAGGAAGCAGAGGTGGCTTTGGCTTAGGCCCAGCCCCGCAGCAGCGTCACAGCCATGTAAGACATTGTGCCGTGGGTCTGGCGCGAATGGCGCCCCTGAGCCCACACTCACCCCATCCTCTGCCGCAGCCGCACGAGGATAGCCGGCTGCTGCCCCTGCTGGTCTGCCTGCGCTGCCTGTTTGTACCCCTCTTCATGCTCTGCCACGTCCCCGAGAAGTCCCGGCTGCCCACCCTCTTCCCCCAGGACGCCTACTTCATCACCTTCATGCTGCTCTTCGCCATCTCCAACGGCTACCTGGTGTCCCTCACCATGTGCCTGGCGCCCAGGTCTGGGGACAGGGAG